GCAGATGCAGCCACAGAGCGGGGCTGCCTGTCACTGGACTCTCCTCAGGGCTGGGCACGGTGCTGGTGCCTGCCGCCATGACGCCTGTCCCCACAGGCACCTGGGTCTGGGTGCCACAGAGCGCCGTGGGTGCGGTGCTGCGTCGGGTGCTGCGAGGTCGCCCTGGCCCTGGGCGAGCTGCCTGAGGCTGCCGGCCGTGCCAGAGGGATGCGTCCAGCGCCGGGGCTGCTGTTGTGTTTCGGGGTTGCCTGGCGATGGGTGCGCGCCTTCCCAGCCGGGTATAAATAGCCGGAGCAGCTGACGCGGGCGGCTGCAGGCAGTGGTGACGCAGGTGGCTCCCGCTGGCCCCGCACTGGGGGCTCAGCCTGGGGAGAGGCACCCTGGGGCTGTCGGCACCGCCAGGGTGGGAGCAGCATCTCCCTGGGCCGGTGCCGGACCCGGCGCCCTGTCCCCCTGCTGCTCCCATGGCTCTGTTTTCTCCACTCCTGGCAGCGTGTGCTGCTCCCAGCCTGACCGGGTGGAGAGGGGCAGAAGGGCCCGCTCACTGTGGGTGCTTCCCATGTGCCTGTGGGGTGTTCGGTGCCGGCGAAATGCACTGGAGGGCAGCCAGTGGCAGCCCAGTGCCCAGCTGAGCCGGCAGCATGGCCGGGGACTGCAGTTCCTCGGGTGCCACGAGCCTGGCCTGGCTCCCACAGCATGCCCGGCAACTTCAGCATGGCTCCCTTGGGGTGAACGGGCACTCTGCGGTGTCCCTGCAGCAGCTGCAGCATGCTGGGGGCTCGGTCACATCAGTACGGGGACATAGGGAGGGTGCACGCCCACGCTGGACATGAGGAGGGGGACAGGGTGGAAGGGGCTGCTGTCAGCAGGACTGCACCCTGGCGCTGTGGGTGCCGCTCCCTGTGGGTGCACTGCAGCTGGGGTGTCTGCGGGGCATGGGGACAGTGTTGTCATCGTGCTGCAGTGCCGTCCTGTGGGTGCCTAGCTGCCCACCCATGCCTGCACCCACACAACCCTTTGTCCTGCCTCGGCCGGCCATGCAGGACAGCGGGGAGTGCTCCCCAGCGCGGCCGAGCTTCGGGCACTCCTGGGGCCGCACACATGCCCTGGCCCCGCTGCAAGGCTGCTCCTTCCCGGTGGGTGGCTGCGGGGCTGGTGCCGGTGCTGGTGCCTGGGGGCTTGGGGGCATGCTAAGGGCCCCTCTCCCTCCCCAGACCGGAGCTTGCAGCTGAGCCCGTGGGAGAGCAGCATCGTGGACCGGCTGATGACACCCACCCTGTCCTTCCTCGCGCGCAGCCGGAGTGCCGTGACGCTGGCTGGGAACGGCAAGGAGCAGGGTGAGCACCAGGGTGGGGGGCACGGGCCCAGGGCCCACATGGGTCCTGGCACAGGCAGGGGACTGGGGGGAGGGAGCCTGAAGCCAGCGGAGAGCTGGTGCCGGTGCTGTGCCAGCTCTGTCCTGACGGTGTGGTCACTCCTACCCCCAGTGCCCGTGTGCCCCCGCTCGGCCTCCGCCAGCCCCCTCAGCCCCTGCCACAACCACCGCCTGCAACACCGCTGCTGGGATAGGCGGAAGGGGACCGCCGGCAGCCCCGACGTGACGCCGCGCCGCAGGACCGAGCCCGACGCCCGACGTGACGCCGCGCCGGAGTCCTCGCCCGTGAGTGCAACCTCCCACGGGGACCCCTGGGTGCCAGGGCGGCCACGGGGCACAGTGTGGCTCCCGGCCGAGCCAGAGCACCCGG